AATAATCACTGGCTAATTCCTTAAGAAACAAAAATTTCTGCGCACAGATAAAATATTAAATTTACTCAACCTTTTATTCAAAGTCGAATACAGAGCAAAACTCTCATGTTTTAAATTCATTGAATTGTAACTTTCTGATCTTTTTTTTTCTTTTAGAGACGAAATAATTAAACTGCTACCTACATCTTTTTTTCCCCTTTTTCTCCTTCTCTTACCCTCGCTTTTTCCCTTCCGTTTTTTTCTTACATAGTTTATTTATTTATTAATTTTTTTAGTAAGGGGGGGGGAGTTATCGAGTTGAACTCCATTAAAACATTTAATAGCTTTGCTTGATTACTTTTCATTGGAAACAATTTCATTATTTTCAAATAATTTTTAATAAATGATAACTTACTCTAGAATCAAAAGGAGATTTTCATATAAAACGAGTTTTCATTCTTACCTTTTCGAGAAAAAATCCAATTTATAGCGTCGACCATTTCATTTGAAAATTCAACCCAGTCTTGTAAAATATCACCTCTTTAACCAGGAACTTTTTATTTATTGAACTATAATTGTTTTAAAAAATTTATTGTCCAGTATTGAAAAAAAGATTTTAATTCATGGAAATTGTTTTAAGCATGAGAATAATTACAATACATCCGAAATTAAGAGGACAAATCGTAAGACCCGATTCCGAGTAGTCATCGAAATCAGGTATCATTGGTAGCAGTCAGTGAGCAGATGGGTAATTACTTTGATCTAACTGCGAAGGGACCAAGTTCTCGTCAAACTTTTTTACCGTAAAATGCTCGACATCGCGCGCAAGCCTTTGAGCTGTCTTATCACTGGAGCCATCGTCTCAAAATTGCAATGTCATGTTTTTATTGCTTTATTGAAATTACACACATTTGCAGCCTTGTTTGCTCAATTTAGCCCCATAAACCTTTGTCAAGTAGAAGGACAGTTAGAGCAATTCAGAGCAGGACACCTCAAAGAATACATCCTGGGTTACGATGGGATTCGAACCCGCCACCTCCACGCTTCACACTGTGATTGACGGGCGATACCGCTCGGCTGGGGAGGCCCCTCATGTCTGCGGATCCTCATCAGGTATGTTTCCCTGTCCCGCAGTGTACTGATCGTTAAGACACGGTTCCCAGCAGATCACCGAAGTCAAGCATCACTGGCTGCGGTCAGTGTGCGAGTGGGTGACCACTTGGATCACTCTGCTTAGGGACTGAGGGTGTGTGGTATGGGTCCTCGTTAAACTGTTCTACCGTAAAGTGCTCGACTTCGCGTGCAGGTCGCCGGGCTACCGAAGCGGGGGTGCCATCCCCTCTGCAGAGGATTAAAATTGTGATGACGTGCCTTCGGATCATCCTCAGAGATGTTTGCAGACCATCGCAAATAGCCCATTGTGCAGCTCTAGTGCGACGTAAATGAACTATAACTACAACTAACTAACTACAGGTATGTTTCCCAGACCGTTGCCAATAGCCCAATGTAGCTTTAGTGCGATATGATTAAAATACTGCAATCACAGGACAAATTTGCGAAAAATAGTGGGCCTAAGATATTTAGTAACCTTATCGATGTGGTGGGTGAGAGTTCACCTGCCTCAGTTGAGGCAGAGGTTCGATTGATTTTCTACGCTAAAGTGTGGTTGTCTGATTGTATTGTTACAATATGGGCTAAATTCGGAATCCATCCTAATACAATGTGTTAAGCTATTTAAGAGTCAGAAAAGTCTATGCAGAGTTTGGTTATTGGGAAGCGTGGTGTGGAGACCTAGTGTTATGAATAATGTTATTTGTGATGTTCCTTCGTAAATGTGTTTTGTTCTATTTTATTACCGCTTTAAGCACCCCACCCATTTTTGTGTTTACGAGTATGAATGTTCAACTCTTTAGCCTTATAATTTTGAACCAAACACAAAATACAAGGGCAGTCCTAGTTTAAGCATTGAGAAAAACTATCCTTTGTGGGAGAATTTTTGATAGAACTAACTCACATTTGCCTTGTAAAAAGCGGAAAAATCACAAAAATTTCCACGGTTGGCCATGATCCATCTACCACTGAGGATGTTTTTCATCAATACTGTTGGCGGTGTGGGAGGGTAGTAGATTGGAATCAGTCAGATATCGCTGGGATTCGAATATGGGTCACCTCATTAGAAGGCGAGTGATCTTAATCCTGAGCCACCACGACCCTTGCAAAGGTATTTCTAAAGAATTCTCCGAATACAAGAGCAACACTTGTTACACAAATGAATACAAAATTTTTCGGGCCTATTTAACGACGATTGCATACGAGTTAATGTTGGGGGGGGTAAACAGTTTTAAGGGGTTTAGTGTTTCCTTTCCATTGAGGTAACCTGAGTCGGACTCAGTTAGACTCAAATGAAGTTAGAGTCCCCTTTCGCGAAAGATTTTTCTTATTTTACCTTTCGTGCAAAGCTAGTGTGGGTAAGTTATACGCAATAATTCTTCCATGAAAAGAATTTCGTCCCGATGCAAGGAAATGAAAACAAAAGCACCATTAGTTAGCCCGACTGCAATATATAATCCCTATAATCTATAATACCCCTATAATCTTGAAACCAAAGGCGAAACAAGAATCATTTTAAATATAATCAGTACTTCACAATAAATTGTCTAAATCGCAAAATCCCACAAGTTCTCCCTTAAAAATGAAGAGTACTAAGCATTCAACTAATAACTTTTACTCGCGAGTGACAACATTGTTGTGAAAACGGAAAAGAATGCAATTAAAAAACATCCTATCTATAATTATCAGTATTCTCTACCCACCAGATAATGTCAATCTAAATTTAAATTTTACGAAATTTGTGCTCAACCCCTAATAGATCCCGTGCAGTATCCGCTGGTGATGCGTGCCGAGCAGAGGCGGATCGCACTAAGACAACAAAAAGACGATTCATCACTGCTTCGAATCCATCACTTTTAACTGAGATTTTGACCTCAGCATTAGCAGCATCCGAAAAAGGTCAAAACAAGGTTTTTCCTTCCTTACTTCTCTGTTTCGAAAACAGGAATAGAGTACTTCCCCCCCCCCCCCTTTTTCGATATTCCTACCTGTAACCGATGAGTAAGGATGCACTTTAAGGGGTGTGTCCGCTAGGGAAGTTAACTTATATCTACAGATATTATTTTGGGGGGTAATATAACTAGTAATATTTCATTGTCTTTATCGATAAGAGACTAAAGTGTTTTTAAGATATTTGGGGTTATACACATGCTGAAAAACGCATTATGAAGAAGAACAGTCATTTGAAACAATTTCTTCGGATCGCTTTAATCAGTGACTCCTTGAAAGTTTACTTACTTGTCATCTAGTTTTGCTTAGTAGTCTTATTTCTTACTTGCTTAGTTAAGGAGTTAGAAAATATTTAACTCCTTAAATATTTTTCACTATCAAGACAGGACATCATGCACTTGAAATATTAATTCTGTAATGATTTAGTTATTGTTACACATACACATACAGGTGGGGACCACGTGGCCTCTCTGTAGCGTGGATATATTGGGTTCGAATCCAACCGTTACATTAAATATATGTTTCAAATGTCTTTCGAATTTGTGCTATCTCGATGTGGACTTGGAAGCCATCTATGTAATGAGCACACAAGCGTGTATATGTATGCATAACAATAAGAAAGAACTAATAGTATTTAATTTTCGGCTATTGAAGAAGGTTTGTGAAACATCAAACATCCCTGTGGATGATCCGATGACATACAATTACGATTTTGACCCTTTGCAAAAAAGATGGGGCCCCCAATTTATAGCCCAATGGCCTACGCGCGAAGTCAAGCACTTTTCGGTCGAACAGTTTAACGAGGATCAACACCATACACCACCAGTCTCTTCACAGGTTAATCAAAGTGGCGGAAATCAACAGCGGCTATTACTTAACTTTGATGATCTGCTGGGAGCCGTATCTTAACGATTAATCCATACCTGGATAATAACAAATAAATAAAAACTATATGCAGGCTTGTGTGCTAAATATTCAAAGAACAACTTGTAAACCCTGGTAGTAGTAGTTATAGTACTTTATTTACGTCAGACTAGAGATGTAGAATAAGCGATTGGCAATGGCCCAGAAGACATCCTTGAGGATGATCCGAATACATGTATCATAATTTTGATCCTCTGCAGAGATTCCCTCTGAAGAGGATCAAAGAGAGGTTTGTGATCAAAATTGCTCTCCCGCTTTGGTAACCCGATGACCTGTTCACTTTATTATGGAACAGTTTAAGGAGGACCAATATCACGCATTCTCGATTTCTTTGCAAACTGATTAAAGTGGTCATATATCCGCTCACTGATCGTTGCCAGCAGCGATTGACTTCAGTGATCTACTGGGATATAAACCCTGGTCAAATTGAAAAACAGATGCACGAATAGAGAAGGAAAATACAACAATGCATTTAGAATTACCGGAATTCGAACCCACTACCACCACGCTTCAGAGTGTTTGGGGTAGGACAATAAACCTTAGCAACAGAGACCATTCATGATGATTAATTGGTCTTGATTCTTTTTATTTATACATATAGTGTTTATTACAGAGTATAGCTTATCAAGTAGTTAAATTCACCTGCTTCTGCCAGGCTCAAGACCCATACAACCATTTATAGGGATTCGTATTGGAATTTATCCCTTAATTCTATTCCAGTTTAAACAACTTATATATTACTAAAGAGGCATAAATCTTATTGCTCATTCACACAAAATCTTTGGTGGAAGGTAAACTCGAGTTCGCGTCTAACCTATTGTCTGGAGCATCGGCGAGCAAATGTAAATATTGTTGTTCATCATTAAAAATTTGGATTGGGGTCTCCCTGGCAGAGCGGTATCGTCCGCCAAACACTGTGAGAAGAATGGAGGTAGCTGGTTCGAATCCCTCTGTTACCCTAGATGTATCTTCGTGCTGTCCTTCTCTGTATTGTGTTATCTGCCTTTCCACTTGACAAAGGTTAATAACCCTAAGTCTGCAAATGTATGTTGTATCAATGAAAACCAATAAATAAATTTTAAAAAATTGGTGTACCTACACATAGGCCTAGACCATTAGTTGGACTTTTGGTCAAATGAGTTGCTGAAATTATATTCTGAAATTTTTTACTCCATTAAATCAATGTGAGTCAAATGTGAGTATGATCAGTCTCAAAAACTTACATCACTAAGGTCCGTACTTCAGACAGGTTGTACATGAAAGTTGACAAATCATGCAGCTATCAACTTGATGACATTGATCAAACAGGGATATCAAACTTTAATGCCTTGAAATTTATTCAAAAGGGCTTGAGCAAAAAATACATCTAAGTATTTGAATTTATAGATTTTTGCGCAGCTTATCACAGTCTACAGAATGCATTTTTCAAGTTGACAGTTTTTACGTAAGTAAGATTTTTTATTAATTTTATTTATTGTTATTATTAAATTGTTATAAGCAGTTTCCTGGCGAATTGTGAGATCAAATTTGAATGTTTTTCTATGTGTTACTATTTTTTTAAAAGTTGGTAAAAAAAAAAATTTCCTACCTACATTTTTTAGCTATTTTCCTAAATATATTCTTTGGAGAGTGTAAAAATAATTTATTCTACAGATTATCTTGGTAATGTGTACATTACATACACTCTAAAGACCATTGTACTATCTCTCGGAATTTGGTGTTTTTCAACCCAAACAATTGTATAAAGGAACCAAAACCCAAAGAATTGTACGACAAATTGAATTTTCGTATATAATAAAATTTAAACCCTTTGAATGGCTCAAACACCAAGCTCGCTAGATTGACAACTTCCGTTAAATATTTTCGCTTTCAAAAATCGCACTTTGCATATCGTCTGTAGATTGCTTATATTACTTTTAAATACAAGTTGGCGAAAGTCTGCAGTTGTCTTCAGTGCTGCTATGCATATTCCAAAACAAATATTCGCAGCTAAAATGAGCATGTTATTTTCAGTTGTACTAGTGATATTTATTTTTATATTTAATAAGAACTCAATGAACTGTATTAAATAACTTTATAATGTGAAATTTCTGTCCGCTTCGGATCTGTTTAGCCTAGTTCGAATTCATTTTTAACATTCTCTCTGCACTATGCGTACGTTTCATTTACAAGTTCATTTTATTTCAAGAATTAGTGTACATATGCAGTCTAAACTAATGATTCACAAAATATGCATTATTTTCCGCAGTTAATGAACTGGAGCTAAATATGCAAGTACTAAAAGAGTTTTTGATGTAAGAATTTTTAGAAGTAGAACCAAAAAAAAAAAGTACTAAATGATTAAACATCTCTATGTAATAATCGATATGATACATATTTACGATTAGAGCAGCACTAACTATGAAAGCATAATAATCTTGTTAAGACTTTCTTCAACTCTGAAAAATTACTCAAGAACATTTTATTTAAATTTCCTTCCACGATAATCAATTGTAGCAACAAACCATAATTTCTTTTTTCTCTATAGAAAGGCAATTGACTATTTTTCTTTACTGATTTTGGTATAAAAAGAGCACGTTGGTTATAAAAACTATCTACGTATTTCTACGTAGGTTAAAAAACATTTCTTCATATTGTGCTGACATCTAGTTTAAATAACTTGTTTAGTACTATCTGAAAACAATATTAAGGAACAGTTTTGAGCAAAGATATCCACTTTAAAAAAAGTGTGGCTTGTACTGTCAAGTCATAGTGAATTCAGTGCATTGGACCACGCATATTTATACTTACTTACTTATCCTCTACGTGCCTTTGGGCACTTAAGGCCTCTAGCATATCCCTCCAACTCCTCCTGTCTCTAGCAATAGATCTTGCTTCCTCCCAGCCAGATATTCTACAGTCTTTTAATTCGCCCACAAGCTGGATGGTAAGTCTGGGTCTTCCTCTTGTTATTTTACCATCAGGGATCCATGTAAGCGCAACAGATGTAATTTTTTCTTTGTGCAACCACGCATATTAGTTAAAAATAATTCAAATCCTCACAAAACCACTTTTTTTTGTCTGTTTTGTATTTGTCTGTGACTTTGAAGACATAAATTTTAATGTGCAGATTATTTTTCATCTGCGTTTTAATTCACTTTTTAAAAAGCAAACAAACTAAAGGTTGAAATTTAGTGTGACTCCTTTATAAAACAGCTCAAGAATAGCTTTAGAACAGCTTTAGAATAAAAACTAGAGCTGAATTGAGAAAACACAGCAAAGAACAAAAATTAAAAAGTTTTTTCTTCTGTTACTTAATTTCAGTCTTAAAATGGTTTTTCGAAGCTCTGAGAAAAAGGATATTTCGAAAAAAGAATATTTCATGCGACGATTGAGCTTTCGAAAAACTGCTTTAACATTGTTTTTTGAAGCTCTGCCGCCAAGGAAAATAATAAAAAAAAAAAAGCTACAGTTTAAGTACCACGCACTTGAAGCAAAACGATGATTTTAAACTATATATGCCCTTGCTGTGAAAAATTATCCGGGCTTTAAAACGGACAAATAACTTAAATATTTTAAAAGTTATTTAACTTTTTTAAAAATCGCCAATTTGGCGGAATTTTTCCGCCTAGAAAAAAATTATCAAAATCGCTGCCTTTTTCTCAGTTTTTGCTAACTTTTATGAACCCAAATAATGCAACATTTTAATAAGTTTTGAAATATTAAAAATTGGACCACAAACGGTTTTCATTTCCACAAAACTGTGGCTTTTCTCCATTTTGACGTTTTGGGATATTTTCAGAATAACCATAGATAGCTTTAGATAGGCTAAACTTGCCCTAACAGTCATGAATAACTGTTGCAAACTCACAGCAGTTATGAAAATAGCATGTTATTCGCAAAAACGCATCATTTCATGTGACGACGAAGCCTTCGAAAAAATAGAGGATGCTAATACAACAGAAGAAACTTTTTATAGCAAATTTTGTTTCATTTCCGTAATTAATTTCAAAATTTAAGTATAGAAAAAGTGAGTTCATACAAAATTAGAGTAGGCCATGAAGTTTCAATTGCTGAAAAAGAAATTTCAAATTATTAAAATACAAACAAATTATTGGAAAGGAACTTTCCTTAATTTGTTTTCATTTTGATATTTTGATTTTTTTTTCTTCAGTATTTGAAACTTGATGGCTTACTCTAGATGTACCTGAACTCACTAATTCTATACTTCTCTATTCTATAAGTATAAGTATTCTATAAGTATACGTCAACTCAAGTAATCTATAAGTATACGTCAATTCAAATATTCTCAATTCAAGTATTCGTCAATTCAAGTATTCTATAAGTATACGTCAATTCAAGTATTTTCAATTCAAGTATTCGTCAATTCAAGTATTCTATAAGTATACGTCAATATTCTACAAATTTTCACTAATTCTATAAGTTATGGTGATGAAACATTTGTAATGTGGTATAGCGTCCTCTTAACTGTATAGAGATTTATTAATTTTTTTTAGCATCATTGTCTAAAATGCAACATAAATTTAAACAACATAAAGTTTTGTGTTCTATAAGTATACGTCAATTAAAGTATTCTATAAGTATACGTCAATATTCTACAAATTCTCACTAATTCTGTAAGTTATGAAGATGAAACATTTGTAATGTGGTATAGCGTCCTCTTAACTGTATAAAGATCTATTAATTTTCTTTTAGTATCATTACCTAAAATGCAGCATAAATTTAAACAACATAAAGTTTTGTGTATTCAATTCAAGTATTCTCAATTCAAGTATTCTCAATTCAAGTATTCTCAATTCAAGTATTCTCAATTCAAGTATTCTCAATTCAAGTATTCTCAATTCAAGTATTCTCAATTCAAGTATTCTCAATTCAAGTATTCTCAATTCAAGTATTCTCAATTCAAGTATTCTCAATTCAAGTATTCTCAATTCAANCAAGTATTCGTCAATTCAAGTATTCGTCAATTCAAGTATTCGTCAATTCAAGTATTCGTCAATTCAAGTATTCGTCAATTCAAGTATTCGTCAATTCAAGTATTCGTCAATTCAAGTATTCTATAAGTATACGTCAATATTCTATAAATTCTCACTAATTCTATAAGTTATGAAGATGGAACATTTGTAATGTGGTATAGCGTCCTCTTAACTGTATGGAGATTTATTAATTTTTTTTCAGCATCATTGTCTAAAATGCAATATAAATTTAAACAACATAAAGTTTTGTGTTCTATAAGTATACGTCAATTCAAGTATTGTAAATTCAAGTATTCGTCAATTCAAGTATTCTATAAATATACGTCAATATTCTATAAATTCTCACTAATTCTATAAGTTATGGAGATGAAACATTTGTAATGTGGTAAAGCATCTTCTTAACTTATAGAGATCTATTAATTTTTTTTCAGTATCATTATCTAAAATGCAACATAAATTTAAACAACTTAAAGTTTTGTGTAATTTTTAAAAACTTTATATTTGAAAATTTTGTTACGTGTATGTAATATTGCACTGATTTTTTGCAATTAAAATCTCTGTCTGACTGTGTTGAGGTTGCAAACAAATTTGAATTTACAAAGGTAATGCTTCAAATTCTGCGACGTATACAAATTCAATACTTCACAATAACATCACTTTGTCGAAATAAAACAAAACAGATAGCTGATTTTTGAATGAAAGGAAAACGTAATCAATCTTTTCTTTTTACCAAAAAAAAAAAAAACTTTCCTTTCATTCTTTCTATTGACTGTGCATCAAGAATAACTAATGCTTCCGCTTTATTTGCCTTCAAAAAACGATAATTATTCGCAAAAATCTCTTTGAAGAGGAAGAAAAAGGTTGTGTTTGAATTCTGAAAAGTGGCCCTTCAAAGCGATCAAATACTGGGCGTTCTCTTAACAAAGATTTATGATTCCAAATGTTCAATTCTGGAAGAGGCGTCACCTTCTGCGTACAATACATAAAGGCGTAACATATTTCCAGGGCCTTATGAAGTGTTAAACATTGACCCCTAAGACACCCAAAGCAACTTGCCTCCTACCACATTCTGATTGAGGAGAGTGATTCGGAAAATTGGGTTTTTAGAAATTGATGATTGCGGGGTACAAATTCATTTCACCTTTTTAAAAGTGAGAATATTAATCTCGGACCCATCAAGTCAAGGAAATGATTTCAAGTTTTTATGCTTCTGAGGTGTACAGATGTATGTATACCTTGTGAAAGATGTTGTAAGACTTAAACGCTTCACTCGCATAGACTTCTACAAGCTTGGTTTGCTTAAAAATGCTTTAAACGCTTAGAAATTAATGCTTACAAACTGTAGAGTTAATATATATATATATATACTAATGTCAAAGCGGTTACCTGCATATGAAGGTAAATTTTAAAACAAATATAATTGGCATATTAATTTAACTAATTTATTATACATATTGCATAATTTTTC